TTTTTGAAAATAGCATATATACGAATACGACTCTTGGATTCAATGAATATTTTACCTTTATAACAAACTCGTGCTTGTTGAAAAACGCTGATTAAATTAAATTAATTCCTGCATATATTCCTACTTTTTTCTTTATTTCCAAACTTGTAGTAAAATCTGGAAAGGTCTGAGAAAATTGTTTATTAATTTAGTCTTGATAAGTTTGTAATGCATACACTACCATTATTTTTTGAATATACTTTTTAAATATAACTAAGTAAATTGAATGCGTGCACAAAGCACTATGAAAGCAAATCAGACGAATCATATAGAATATTCCATGCGAGGGAGCATAAAATCATACATATGTATGTATATTTGAGACACTACCATTATTTTGTAATTGACTTTAATTTTTAAATATACCTAAGTAAATTGAATGCATGCACAAAACACTATGAAAACAAATCGGTAGAATCATATAGAATATACCATACGAGGGAACATGATATCATACATATATTTCAAACACTACCATTATTTTTTAAATGATTTTATTTTTTATATATAACTAAATAACTGAATGATTCGCGCAAAAGACTATGAAAGCAAATCGGAAGAATCATATAGAGTTCTGAGTTCTAATTTATTTTTACTTTTAATTCTTGCCAACTATCGCATACTAAATTATTATAAATTATTTTGTTTATAATTATAATGAAATGTTTTTAATGCTAAATAATTGTATTCTAAATCAGTTTTTACTTCTCCTGAAAGAACAACCATAGACTTCGTTTCTGTATTTTTTATTTAAAAATACCTGTAGTTTTAATAAGATTTATATTTTTATATATATATACAAATATCGTTTATATACTTATAAATAATGCATTATTCATTTGCAAAATGCTTGCCGATTCAAACTTCCAAAATATTACCGTTGCATCTAAATTGCTTATGTTTCAGATGCAAAAATACCGTCCTGGCATTGGTTTGTTTCGTTTTGTATATTCGATTATATGGAGTTCTTGAATTATATCCTTTTTTGATTAATTTTTTTCAGAAATGCATTATACGTATACATTTATTACTAAACTATCCTTGTATACACATCCACACAAGCCGATCTATGTTATGTATGTATCAATGTTACAAGTACACATTTTTTTATTAACTATTGTTCAACTAAATAAATATATAGTAAATAATATTATTAAATATGTACATCAGTTTATTTCTTTATATTTCAATATTTCCACTACTTAATTATACAGCACTTGTCCAAAACTACCACGCAACGTGACGTTCGCCATTTTGTATTCTAAGTACAAATATGTATCAATGCTTTAAAATTGTTATGAAAATATTTTATTTTTTTATTTTCATTTCCATAATACATGTTTTGTTATATGTTTTGCTGTTTTTTAACATATACTTCTTTTAACAACAACAAGTAAATAATAACCAACTTTTTAAATATCTTATGCTACAAACTGGTGAGGTTTTGTGAAAAATATGACTGTTTCAAGGTTTCAGATTTATATTTATATTAATATAAAATGTATTATAAATATATAAAATGTATTATAAATATATAAAATGTATTATAAATAATTCATCTAACACATTTATATTTCTTTAATAGATATAATAAGTCAAATTGAATCTTTAAAAACGCCCTCTGCTATAAATTTCTCCCTTTTCTGCTAAGGAAAACTTTTGTTATTTATCAACAAATGATATGGTTTATTATGTACACATTAATGAATATATTGACAATATTTAATTTATTTAATATTTATATACATATGTTTGTATATTTAACACAATGTTTAAAAAAACTAAAACTCAAATAAACGATCTTTTAATGTTTCAATTTCTAGTCTACAGAGGATGGTATTCTTATACTGGTAAACACTTTAATGAGATTAGAATCCCTTTTTATTAATGACGATGTCGCATTAATTTATGCAGTTTTGCTGTACTTTGATAATGCCATTTTTGTTTGTATCCAAAAAAAATTATTAATAAATCTTTTCGTTTTGGCGACAGCTATATACATACATATATCTTAATTTTTGTATCAACTGTTTATCTTTGATGTATTTTTATTATTTATTCATGGTTTACACTTTCTTTATCTGCATACATTTTTAGTTTCCACAATATATATATGTTTTTAACGCTTAAATAATAATATATATATACAGTCCAACTTCCATAACTCGAACTTGTGTAACTCCAATTTTTTATAATTCGAAGTAAATAGAGTTGCACAGGATTTATAGAGCAAATTATATACAATTACCAAAAATTCTTTAACTCAGTCTCCATAAGTCGAACCTTTTCTTTGCAAAATGGTACTTCGATATATGGAAGTTTGACTCGAATCAAAAACCAGAAAAAAACAGTAAATGCAAAATATTAACAATAAAATTTTTAATCTGAATAATAAAATATATAATTAAATTTTTTCATAATTTTTATAACTTTGTTATAAGTAGCAACAATAAACTGAAAAAAGATATAATACTTATGTTAGTAATGAATAAAGAAAGTTGAATATAGCTTATTATTTATTCAATTTAAATATCTTTTCTTTATGTTGACTTCGGACGTATTATTGTCCACATCCAATTCAAAAGCATTGAAAACATCTGATGAATTTTTACCGTTCACCATGAATGCAAAATAAAAATGTTAGCAATATTGATTATACAATTTTATTTTTATTTACTATTCGCCCACGTCAAGACCCACTCATTTCGCTGGACGAAGTTTCTTCTTTCGCTAAATACAACAAAACCACAACAGCTTAGGATGGCTTCGTGCGTCTGCGTTTATCCACGTCCCATAAAATAACAATGCAAACATCTGGTGAATTTCACCTTTCATCAGGAATGCAAAATAAAAATAGCAATAATACTGATTTTACAGATGGAATTATATTCGTCCACACCAGCTAAGACCCGCTTATCTCAACCGACGCAGTTTCTCCTATTCTTACATACAACAAAACTGCTTATATTATTTGTTACAAGAATGGTTAAATCTTTCATAAACAAACAAAATAAATATTGACCCTACTATATGTAATAACTAAATTTTTATTCATTTTACATACATACATATTTTTTATTAAAAACATATATTATATAGTTTCATATGTTATACATATATATAATAAATGATATAATCATTATATATGTATATATATGTCATTCATCGATCGCCTCAATGACGTATGTCAAGAAAGCGCAATTTTTTTATTTTTTCTTGATTTTGTATTAAAAATATATTTTATGTAATTTTATATATTATACACATATATACTAAATGATATAATCATTATATACATATATATATATTATTAATCGATCGCTACAATCACGTATGTCAAGAAAGCGCCATTTTTTATTTATTCTTGATTTGGATTTATTTCAGCATATTCTACTAAACTATCGTAAATATATATTTAATACATATATAACGTTGCTATATAATATGGTATCTTACATGAAGTTAGACATTTCATAATAAATTTTATAAAGTTATTTTTAAATATTATGTTTTATTGCTGTATTTCAGTGCAAGATTTTTTTGCTTTACATACGTGATTATAGTTTCGACCAACGATATGTTACATTTTCAATACGTGCAACAAGTACTGTAATTTTCCAAAATAAAGAAACAATTTTGAAATTGTAATAAATATTATTTTTTTATTAGATTATGTGGTTATTTATTGTAATGTATTTTATTGTATTCTCTTAAATATAATTTAAGAACTTACTTTTTTTATTTATTATTAAGTTTTCATATTATTTTTGAGCCTGGAACAGGATCAAACTACCTGAATTTGCAAAATTCAAACTTCTCGTGAAATGTCAAAATTTTGCTATTTAACGTGAGCGACAACACTGTTTCTACGCATTTTGTGCAGCACTTTGAACGTACCAAGATCGCGCTGAATTTTACGCTATTAAACAGTGAAGTTAATTTTATTAAAATGATGAAAAGCTTGTTCTTTATTGCTTATAAGTGAAATATTAACAAAAATGAAAAGAACTCTTATTAAATGAACTAAAATAAATCAATTATGTTATAAGTTGTCACGAAGTAAAATGTTTAAAAGGTACAGCAACTGTGGACTACACATTTAAAAAAAGTTACTTTGTGTGCCGAAAGGTACTTTTTACAAATTCATTGAAAAAAAAACTTTAAATTTGTTTTAAACAACTATTAAAGTTATAATTAAGAACAGTTTTAAGTGTTATATTAAAAGATATTACAAAATAAGTTTATAAATTTAAAAACTAAAAGTTTACAAAAATTATTTGTATTAAGTGCTATATGTTTTGTGCTTATATATTTAAATATTTTGTTAAGAATTTTATATACATACATATAAATTGTTTAAAAAATAAGTAGATACAAAAAAAAACGTTTTGAAATATCTAATAAATAATGCAGGCGTTACAATTAAATAACATACAAAAACAAAATATTAACTCGGTGATATATCCTGTAAGCATTTCTCAACCCAGCACATCAAAACCCCGTGTATATAAAATCCCTCAAGAGAAAAGACCACTAGACACTAATAGTGTGGCAGGATTTCAAGCGGAAGTTCCAGTTCTTGGGATCTCTGCCGTACCAAAGCTAGTGCCAATAGTTAATGAAACAGTTGGAAGAAACTTGATTTTTAAGTCAATCCAGAACACGCCACCAGCAAGTGCCACCACCACCACCAGCACCACTAGCGCTAAACAAATGTCACAAACAAATAGAAAAAGTAGTAATCCAGAGGAGGATGACCGGAAACAAACGAATAAATTGCTAACGAGTATGTTTCAAGTAGTTGGATTGTTTTTGCTTTGTTTTGCTTTATTTTGATTTTGTAGTGATATGTAAATGCTTGTGTAGAAATACATATATTGTAACATAAACGATTAATAGTAATTATTAATTATTAGTGATTATAATTATAAATTTTTTGGATGTTATTGCTGTTACCACTGCCATTTTGTTTGCAATTATGTAATGCTAACTAACATACACAAATCTACAATTTGACGAGTTAAGTTGGAATGCAAGTTGCGAGTTGATGATGCGAATTTTTAACGGCGACGTTGTGCATACAGGGTCTCAAAAAATGTTTAGCCTTACAAGTAGTAAAGCAAATGAAGGCATTATTTAGTTTGCTTATTAATTAATTAACAGATTGTTTGTCGTCTTATGTGTCATTAAGGCACATTTTGTGAATTTCAGTAGGAAATATTTATCAACTGGCGACTAGTAGTTATTGCTTTGGGATATTTTTACGTATTATTTTATTATTTTTCACGTGTGTTGTATCTGCAGAGCGAAAACGAATTACAATATATAGTTTAGTTCTGAAATATCTTGTGTATGGAAGGCAGTCAGCAGTCAGTCAGTCGATAGCAAACGGTGTCAGTAGCAAGCAGCGTCAGTAAGTTTTGTTTATATTAAAAGTGATACTTATTATTTGGTGCAACCTGCAGATTGATTTTCTTTCTTTTTCTTTGCAAGCAAGCATTTTTCTTGACAAAATATAAACATAAATATAAATAAAAGACGAGCGACGAACGCATAGTTTGATTTACTCGCTTGACAGTTTAAAATATTGTAGATAGACTTGTCAAATATGGTAAAATAAAAATTTATGTGAAATTAGCTGAAGTTTATAAATATACACAAAGCTTGTTTTTGATTTTACAAGTAATAAGTTAAAAGTTATAAGTTCATCAGTAACAGAAAAGCAGCTCCATTTTGGCAGCAAGTAACAAAAATAATAAAAATAATAAAAATAAAAATGAAAATAAAATTATTCATATAAATATTGATAAGCTGCTAATATTGTGGTGTCGTTTGTGAGCATGTAAGTAATGCCTTTTTATAGGTGTTTTAAATATATTTATTTAAAAGTGCAATTGTTACTGATACGTTTGTATAACCAGTAAAAAGCATAGGTTAGGTTTTTTTTTTTTTACTTGAAGTTGGTTTTTTTTATCTTAAACAAAACGTTCAGTTTCTGAAATCAGTGACAATTTAAATAAGAAAAAGATTGCATGTGTTAAAACGAAGAAGATGTGAAATTTATTAAAATCTACATTAGAATCGTGAGTTTATGCATTTGTAAATAAAATATATGAAATCTGAAGAGTTCATTTAATATATTTTTGTAACCAGAGTTAAAACCTTGTCTGTCAGTTTGTCAGTTGAAACATACATACCAAATGTTATATAAATATAAAAAAGTATTATTACACTATGTTATATGCTCATATACTACCTAAAAAAAAATAAACATATTATATATAACATTAATTATAATAAAATTCGAGCTTAATTATTATTTTATGTAGTTTGTTGCAATACGTGATTCATTTTAATACATTCGTTTTTTTATTTGTTCTTTTTTTTTCGTAAGTGCTGCCCATATTTGCTTGCTCTTGCTATTTAATATTAAGTAAAAATATATTCACTAATTATAATCCTTTATTAAATACATTCCATTTTATCTATCTTACAGTTAGCAAGGAACAAATGTTGGTAAACGCTAAGATTGCACAAGTGGTACAACTTCCAACCTTAATTCCTGTCAACAAATTAACTTACGGCACTGGTGCTGCTTCAGACAAATCACAAGAAAACAGGATCGTACAATTGTTAGACACGAAAATTACTCAACGACCTGCTGATGTGTCACCAAGAGCCTTACAACAAACATTGAAAACATATCCTGGTAAGAAGTCTATCGATACTAAACAACAAATCAAAACAATTGCGACAACAACAAACAAAAGTGCATCCAACAACAAGCCAAACAATATGCAAGTCAAAATGAGCGTTAATAGCACACAGTTGGTACAATATAAAACGCAAACTTCCGAGCTCTCCCATCTTAATGCACCAGAGGAAGAAGTTTTAAAGCAAGAGCACAGCTTAGGCACTGGCACTGGCACTCCGTTATACCATGCACAAGACACAATTTCCATAATTCCAACTAATTTTGCTTACGCCGAAAGTGACTTGCCAACAGAATTGTCAGTGCTACCAAATACAAACAAATCAGTAAAAGCAGTATTTGCAACCGAACCAGCAAGTGTAACGCTTGAAAAATTACCTTTAAAACCAGCAAATATTGATAGTACAAACAAAAATCAGTTAATTCCAGAAGCTGCAAATGGTGTGCCAACAATGCCAGCAGGCGAAAAAACAATATTGCGAAAACGACAAAAAGAACTTGATGAAAAAGCCCGTATACAGCGTTCCAAATCCTTGAGCATTTCCCAAATAGTCGAAAATGATACCAACAATGAACGTCGTTTTTCACTCAACGTTGAATCTATTGAAACTGATAATAATGATTTAATCATCGATTTAGATGGACTCCTTGATGAGAATGATGAAGAGAAATTACAAGAAGAAGAAGGAGCAGTTGTTGGTGCCAACATAACGAACAACAGTTACGACAATAATGGCATTGCTGAACCGTACGATGATGAGGACGACGACGATGATGATGATGATGTACAAATTGTACAAACTTATTCTACACCCAATAAAGAGTTCACAAACTCTACAGCAGATCGTATCAGTGAAGAAATAGCACCAAGTCATCAATTACAAATAACTGATGTTAAAGAAAATTATGCTTATGATATTAATACAGATGTATCAACAATTCAACAAAATACACCTCCTGTAAATAATACAAAACAAAAAAACCCAACTAATGCTAAAGCTAATTATAATGTTCTTAATAAGACTACAAAAAAACATAGAAGTTCCTTGGAAATAGAAATTACTCCCGATGTATCCATTATTCACCAATCAAATGCAGGCACGGATACTTCGTTGCTGTGTGATGAGCCATTTTTGCTATCATCATCATCATCCACTACAGCTTCATCGAATAATAATTCACGTACATTAGAAGTAGAACCAACAACAGTGATTAAGAAGATACAAACAACAAAAACGAAATCTTCCGAATCTGCTGGAAATAAATCTGCTGCATGTTCTGATAGCAGAAAAGTGCCAGAGCATACACGAAATTTATTAGCTTGGAATAATAATGTAGGATCTGCACGTGGCACAGATATACGTTTCGAGTTAAATGAATTCAGTTTGTTACAGATACATGAACGTTGCGCTGCTCGCGAACGTTCAATAAATTTCTTCGAGAAACCAATAGGTGAACGTCAAATCTCTTTAAAAGATGATCCATTGTTATACATGTGCAAACATTGTAATACACACGGACCGGCTGTTAAATTCTTGGCACCGCGTAAGTTGATATATTGTATAATATTATAATTAAGACATCACCAAGGCATAACTTTATTAGTTATTTATAATACTATTGATAGAGCAATAACATGTAATTTCACAAGAATTTCTCGAAAAAAGGAATTCAAATCTTATAGACACCTTGTAATATTGTTGTTGCTCCTATTGCTGTCCAAATTTATCTTTACGAAGAAAATAAATAAATGTTGTTATACCACAATTCTAAAGTTCCGCAAGTTTTAGGAATCTTGCTAGATATTGCAGTATATGATATTAGATATTGCAGTATATGAGTAGATTCAGAAGCTTACAGAAGTAGCTGGGTGGGTGTGCGTCCCGAATGCACTCGTCCATTTCGACAATCAAGTGCCGTTCATCACTCTCAATATGAACTCTATCAGCAGTTCTTTAAAAGTTAGACAGTTCATTGAAGACGTAGATTTTAGTGATTCTAAGGCTCGTAATGTATTGCTGTAACCCTCAGTTATCTTTAATTTTATGATTAATATATAAAACATAATATATTATGTATTATTATTATGTCGAAGATATATATGTGCAATATTTCTTCGATAAGCATCAAAGCGAGATTCATATCATAGTTAACCAGAACAATAGTTTTCAACTAGCGCTAGAATTGAATAATTAAACCGCAGTTTGAATTATCCTTAAACTATAAAACCTATCAATAATTAAAAGTAAAAAGAAATTCTTGCTCCTCATACACATGATTACTGATCCATTGGAAATAAAATACATTAAATAATTAAATTCAAGTAATTAATTTTATTTGTTTTATTTTTTCAGAATATTGTTCCACTGAATGCTTAAATCGCTCAATAATCATAAGTCGTGGAAATGTTGTGGCAAAACAAATTTCTTCGAAGCGTCAACGCAGTGAGACTTACTTTTTGCCAGTACCTAGTAATAATTCTGTCAATATTGCAAAAAGAACGTTCCGCTGGACAGAATACCTTTCCGACAAAAATGGTAGAGCTGCTCCAATACATCTCTTTATAAATCCCTTTCCAGTTGCACCTAATATGTTTCAAGTGGGAATGAAACTTGAAGCAATTGATCCAATGAACTGTTCGTTGTTTTGTGTTTGTACTATTGTGGAAATTCAAGGATTCCGCATGAAATTGCATTTTGATGGGTACGATATAGCTTACGATTTCTGGGTAAATGCTGATTCCATGGACATATTCCCACCTGGTTGGTGTAGCAAAAACAATCGCGTTTTGCAACCACCAAAAGGCATCGATCATAAAGTATTTAATTGGCATATATACTTGGATAAAACAAAGGGAAAAGCTGCTTATAAACATTTATTTACGCATCTCAAATATGACAGCTCACAGGAAAGAAATCCATTTAAGGTGAGTTTATAAAAGTTGTACTTATTTATTTATTTATATGTAATGATTTATTTATTTGTTAATTACAGGTTGGTATGCACCTAGAAGCTGAAGATCTTAATGGAAATGGTCAAATATGCGTAGCATCAGTTGCCGATGTATTGGGTGATCGTATACGTGTACATTTCGACGGTTATAAATACTGTTTTGATTATTGGGTAGACATATGTTCGCCTTACATACATCCATGTGGTTGGCACTCTAGTCGTCAAGAACTAACAGTACCACCAAAATTTAAGTACACTCGTTTCGATTGGGCGGAGTATATAAAACAAGAACGTTGTGGCGTTATAGCACCAGAGGAATTCTTTAGACCGCGTGACCCTATTGATTTTAAACCACATATGAAATTAGAAGTTGTTGACCCATGTAATCCAACGCTTATCCGTCCCTCGCATATAATAAGTCGTAAAGGGCATCGTATAAAAGTTCTGTTTGAAGGATGGCAAAAAGAATATGCCTTCTGGTTAGAAGATGATAGTCCCGACTTGCATCCAATCGGCTGGTGTGACGGAACTGATCACAAACTTGAACCACCACCATGTTATCAAAATTCAACCACAAGCGTACTATGTACACTATCTGGTTGTCGTGGCATTGGAAATGCTAAAAATTGTCACCTAAACACTCATACAACTGTTGATAGTTGTCCTTATTTCGGAGCAAACTGGTTTAAAAGAAATATAAAACCATTGCGTATAGATTCCTCACTAACCATACGCAAACCAATTATAAAAACAAATATTGATGTACAAAAGAAACAAACAAGTAAAATACAAAATATTCTTATGGAAACACAAAATCAACCAAGGTTACAAAAAGTTGAAGCTTTCCATCCAGAAAGAAAATTGGATATGACAAGAAAGAGACGAAATTCAGTTAGTGTTGTTGATTTGATGGTAGAACAACCTGAAATCAAAATTGCTAAAAATTATTTGTGTGATTATGGTCCACGTTTGCTACAAACCTATGATTTATGGCAAATGAATCAAGACTTCAATATGAGCGATATAACTACGAATCCAATGAATTGGACTATAAAGGAAACGTGTGCATTCGTCGAGAAAATATTAAGCTCACATATTGCATGTAAGTTTTCCAATGAGGAAATTGATGGTACGGCTCTACTGATGCTATCACAAAGTAATCTAACAGACGATTTAGCAATTCATCTGGGTCCTGCCGTCAAACTGTTCTCACATATTTTGTCGCTACGAGCGTTGGTAGTGAAAAAGTTTTTATATGTTCCTGTTACTATATAAATAGCAACAAATATATCAACTCTTTGTAATATATTTCTTAATTATACAGTTTACTTAAATACTGAAAAATTTTGTTCACTCCGCAATGTACATGAAAATAATTTTTTTTTGTTTATAGATTTATCCATATGTAACATTGCTTCCATATTTAATTTTAATTTGTTAAACCTAAGGTTAAAGATATTATGTATAAGAAACATAAATTTACAAAATTTCATTTAAGTTATTTAAATATATCGATTCATCTATATATAATAGATATATATATATATTTATATATACACTTATAAAAACTATAAATAAAACATATATATAGAAAACAAATATTTGTACATAAAACATACATTTTTATAATTACTATTAATATTAAATTCTACTTTAATTATACAAACAAAAAAAATAATTGATATAGTAATCAAAAATATCTGTTTCGCTGTGAATATAAGGTATTTAGATTTTTTAAAATAATATTTTATTCGCCTCTACAAATCATGCATGGCACCAAACCGTTCTGTTAACATTTAACTGTAAGGAAATTAATAAATACAATACCACAATCATTATAATATCAACTATGAGTGAAAAATCAACCTCTTGTATCCCCAAACCAATGTTAAATAAATTATAAACTAAACATACAAGAAAAGTTTTTACTGAATAAAATGTATTCACATAGTAAATAAAATAACTGTAACGAAAACGATTTGCAGAAAACAGAAACATTCTGACTTTAACATGCATATATGTTTTATCAAAAACAAAAAAAAACCCTGCCTGCTTAATAAAGCACAATTAGGCTTTGTCCAGAATTAACATATCGACTAGGCAGGCGTATAACCAATTACAATGAATAGTATCAACTACATAACTGATTAAAATTAGTTGTCCCTTCTTGGCTTTCTAGAGTTTGTAACACAATCCTTGAAATACCTGAAGCTAGTTAATTGGCAGATTTCTGAAAATTCAATTCAGTAGATTTCTCATACGAAATTTACCAATCATTTCTACCTCATATTTAAGATCACTTCCAAATTCCTTGCGTAGGGTTTAAATTAGGTTAAATTATCAAAATAGATTTTTGATATCATTTTTTTTTTGCACATAAATTGAAAATGGAACTTAACGATGCATTTTCTTCGAAATATTTATATATGGTTTGGACACAATTCAATAAATATGAAATTGCAATATAATTATTAATTTATTTAGGAGTTCGCCTTCCTATATCTTTATTCTTTACTGGGTATAGTTTAATGCACTTGAGAGTGTAAACAAAATATTTACAAGTGAACATAGTTTTATGCTATTCAACCTCAATTTATTATCCATTTAGCACAATGTAAAATAGAAAAATAAAATAAATTCAGAAAATATTTGAAAAACGGATTTCTGGTAATATTTTTCTAAATCACCATCGCCCACCATCACGGATTCGTGAATGTGAACCTGAATAGCCAAAACTTCAAATAGCTTATCAGTTATTCAATTTGATTTTTTATCCAGAACAAGATATTGATATTTCTCTAAGATATTGTTGGCAAACCGTCCTTATCTTGATTAATATACAAATATTTTTATTTGACCATACAAAGCAACATGGTTGCATTTAAGTACTAGGATAAGCATACAAATATTGATATGTAATTATACATGTAATTAAGTACACAAAAAAGTATATACATACATACATATATATATATATATATATTTATGTATAATTACTAGTTGGAAATATTATATCCCTACAGCTTCAAAAATTATTGAACCAATTGTTCAATTAATTGTTTAAATGAATAAACTTCTACTTTTTTTGAATATTTTATTGCATTGAAGTTCATTTTTGAGGACCATAAAAATTCATATACACAAAATTAAAATTTTATTTTATAATTATATTGCAAAAATTTTTTTGAAAATGTGTGATAATTTATAAGCATAAAAACAGATGATTTACTGTTTCATGTCTCAGTCGAATTTTGCAATTCAAAGTGGTAAAGTGCTTGTAAGTGCCGCTGAATCGAGAGAGCTAATAATTGACAAGTGAGTTTACCTATGACTTGTTATATATATTATTTTTATATTTTAGATTATAAAATCTAGAATTACAATATTTTCAATTAAATTATATTTAATTTATAGTTATATGCTGATTGCAATAGCCAAAATAAACTCTGCCTGTTTTTTTTGTTTATATCACATACGTGAAACGACAAGGTATGAAACGGAACGAATTGGGTTTTTGTGAATTGTCAAATTGTATGTAAAAAAAAATTTGCATAAAATATTAGTTGCTACGAATTTCAAAATTAAAAAGTAATATTTTTTAATGCGCACATGAAATAACTTATTAACCATAGCATAAGCGTGTTATATTTATACACGTACACACGTATTTATAAAATTGTTGAATATACGCATCGGCATGCTTTTGACATTTTACTTACCACGATGTCATTCACTTACGTTACAACGTGAGTGGTCAGTTTTAAATAATCTTTAAACTGAAGACTTAATTTTTAATAACATTGCATACTAAATAAATATTTTCTATTAAATTCTTTATTTAATTCTAAGTTTATATTTTTTGAAAAATAAATAAAATAATGCAATAAAAAAATATTCAATTTTTGAAAGTAAGCAGTTTGGCATTCAGTTTCCGAACAATTTACAAAATAGTATGAACGCCATTTTTATGTCTGATTGTACTAGACGCACAGTTGTATTAATTGTCTTTTTGGCGTATATGTGCACTAAAGCCGACGAATTGGGCTGTACGTTTTGTATGTTTTCAGATGAATATATAATAAAAATTTATACTTTAAATAATAAAAAAGTGTATACATTTTAAATTTCTAAAAAAATATACGGAACATATAACATTATTTTAATAACAAAAAGTGTATGAAAAGAAATAAAAATTGACAGTGCTCCCTTCCCGCTTGTACATAGTTCGCCTTATTATGCAGTGCAGTTTTTCGTCGCTTACACATATGCGTTCAATAAAAGATATTATTACTTTTAAATTATATAAATAAGTTTTATTGAGAAAACTCTAAAGTAATAGAAATATTTACTTATGAAAAATTTGGTAACACGTTTGCTGTGTGAAACGAGGTGTTTGATTTTTTCGATTATTTATATTCCTCGCTTATTATAGTATGTATTAATCGTCAGGTCCCACTGTGAGTGCTGTACATTTCGTTTATTACATTACTGTGGCGTATTGCCATTTACTTTAAAAACTAATTTTGGTGTTTCAACCAAATTGTTACACTAAGGTAAATAAATGTAAAATGCAAGCAAATTTTATAAATTTTATTTTATGGTTTTAGAAATGATAAACTAAATAACTCGGTATAAGCCCTTTGTTCTGTAATATATATATAATTCCTTTCGATAATGTGATACTCTCTTGATATTCGCTTTGTTACTTCGATTTTGTTTGTCGCAAAGAATTTAGTTGCGCGTCACAACGGCGGGAAAATATATTTTGAGAGTGGCCATGTGAGAATATTTTTAGTTAAGTTAGTACTCTATACTGGCTTGGTTATGAAGATATATATTTACACTATTTTCACGATAGTGTAATGGTTCTTAAATTAAAATCAGTAAGAAATAGTAATATTATGTGGTTATATAAAATTCAATTTAAAATACGAAAAAAATAATTTGAAATATTTTGCTATTGGTTTCAATTTGAATAATATTACAGTATAATTGTATTAATATCTGATACTTGAATTTACATTACCTACTTTTATCTACCTTCAGTTAAACGATTTTAGTTAGAGCGGTTTAATTAAAATTGTTCTTGTATATATCTATTTCATTATCAACGGTTTTAAAGGAAAATATAAATATTTATTAATTATTATATGCAGATTTTGATAATATTATGATATAAGTTTTTTTTTTTTTTAATGTTCTCCAACTACAGAATTACCACACACAACGTCGTCGAAATATTTTATTTAATTACTTAAACTACACACACTAATTTTAGCCCAGATAGCTTGTAGGTTTACACTTTTGAAACCCGTTTCTTCATTCCACATAATTTTCCTAATCTTATCATACAACCAAACCCTTCTCTGTGGACTGTCTTAAAACTTATTTATCTGCCTGTTTGGTAGATCTGCGAAGCGAGTTACAACAACAAAAACATAATAATAATGCTATTGAATTTTTTTGGGAAACCCCAAATCAAATAATGTGGTTCTAAGCAGCACTAAACAGGAAATAGGTGTTATTTTTAAAAAGTGCTAATAGTTAAAAATCCACAAAAAAATATAAGACGGTTTCAACATCGAAACTTTAATTATTCCTACCATGAAGTAAATATCGAAAAAATAGAAGAAATATTCTAAAAATAGAAGAAATGAATTTAAACAGTTTTATAAAGTTTAAAATTTTTTTGTTTTGCAGTTAATGTTTAACTATTTATCTACGGAGGTATATCTTAAAACATTCAATGGAAGATATTACAAGCTTAGACTCGTTTCCAACGGATATTACTGATTCATTGGCAAGACCAGAATCTGAACTACCGGAAACGTCAGCAACACTAGATATCCCAGCAGATAATCCAACAGATACACCAACAGCTGCACCATTAGATGCTCCAATAGATGCAGATACCCCGATAGATACAGATGTTCCGATAGATACAGATGTTCCAATAAATACAGAAGCCCCAATAGATACAGATGCCAGAAAAGGTGATAGTTCAAAGGAAGTAACTGTACCGACAACCAGTGATGAAGTGGAAAAAATTTCTGATGATAAGTGCGAAGTAAATGATAATTCTAGAGCCACACCAGTTGATCAACAAATTGATGAAAGCTACCAAGAGAAATTACTCTACGAAGATAGTATAGAGGAAGACAAACTAGAACCAAAGGAAGAACTTGAAGCTGAATTCAGTGTTGTGGAAAAAAGTAATATCGAAAATGTTGACAACAGTGATAATGTTGATAATGACAAAAGTGTTGAAGAAAATGCGGATGTAGAGCAGTCGGCAGATTTTGAGGAAGTTGATGCAAGTGTATTAGCAAGTGGTACATCCGCAGCTGATGAATCAGATATGTTAGGTGAATCGGATATGACACTTCCTACAAACATAACAAACGATGACGAAGTTGCAGTTAAACCATCAGATTTGGCAATGGAAATTGATA